TGATGAGAAAGAAGGCTGCTGATGGGTTGCATAAGACATAAACAATAGGCTAAGCGAGTAATGGTTCACGATGCACGTGCCATAGATCATGGATGGTTTCCAGGAACAATTAACGTTTGTTGTGGGAGAAAAAAGAGAGAAGCCACATCAGCGGGGCCTGTTCATCCACAAGCGACTTTGTTGAATACGAGCCTGCTGATTGATCATGTGTTCGATGAATCTGAGTGATTTTTTAAATTGATTTTTGTAAATAAAAAACAGGGATCCAACTCCTTTCGCTGAATCTTGAGTTTCGTTGAATCTGAGTTTGTTGTATCTGAGTTCCACTACATGTACTTTCAAATCCACATGATTGTTAATTTGTGAAAATAAGATTGCAGTGCACATTTTACGCTACCGGTACTTTCATGTTTTATCTTTTTAGTTTTAAATACAAAATACAATGAATTATGCTGAATAAAAATCATACATGTTTAATCTGAAAAGCAGTAAACTGAAAGAAAATTAAATTAACTAGATCTATTATTTTTCTTCTATTTGAGCAGCCTCTTTAAAGAGAAAACCCAACTAAACTGAAGAAAATCCGGTAGTTAAACACTAACCCAGCAGAACTGATTGAAACACAAACGCTCAAATACACATAGGCAAATTCACAAACTTTCATGTTATTTTATTTCTAACAGATTTTTTTTTGGACAATAAATGAATGCGAGAAACTTGGGGGAAAAAAAGAGACCAAAAAAGTCCAAGGAAACACAACTAGTATAAGTGTATAAATATTTTTAATATGATTTTGTTGAGTTTTGAGCATTCAAAAGAGCAATTACGTCTGTCTACACTAGATCTAGTAAAAAGATGCATGACGTGAATATCCGTAGACTAAACTGACTGAATACAAGTCAGCTATCTTGGCCTGTTATGGTCTTGTGAACAAGACAGGTGGCCATCAGTTTGTGACTATTTTTAGCAAGCCGGCATAAGTTCAGTTTGTCTCACTGTCTACCTGAGAGCATAATACAAAATGATGCAATAAAGATTGTGTAAGCTGCTAAGACAATTAAAAAAAAAATTAATAGACATTTTATGGCACTTGGAACACAGTTAGGTTATGTACTGAAGGTAAAGTATTGTATCACAAGAGAGTAACAAACCCCAAAAAGGAGGAGAGATAAGGACGACCGATGTTTGATAGAAAAGAAGAAGAAAATTACACCGGAGCACCTGCCAACCACCTACTGAGGCAATTTCACAGATACTATACTGATAGTCCCGCTTTCAGAAAGCTTCCCAACATTCCAAGCTGCTTTGCTTCACTCTTGGTTCTTTTTGGTTTTCTTGGAAAGTAAAAAAGATACATATATATATATATATATATATATATATATATATATATATATATATATATATATAACGAGTCCTGAAACAACGAGAAGTCTGCTATAAAGACACTATTCTAAAACCCCGTTTTTTTCCCTTCTTTATCTTTGTAAATAAAATACTGCATTTGCGCAATCAGACAGTCATGCGAGTCGGTTATAGCGAAATAATGCGGCTGCTGTGCACAGCACACAGACCAATTAAACTTATAAAACCTCGCCAGTTGAGAAAGTTGTTGGTGATCCAGCGAAACAAAGAATGGGAGAGCCCATTCGAACCAACAATGAAGGCCGAAGCGAATGAGTGGGGAGGGTGTGGCATACGCAGACAAGCAGAACGCATCGCGTGATAGGCCAGCCCAGTCTAGATTATCTAGGCATACCGTGCCTCTCACTTCTCTGGTGTGGGATGGAGAGGTCACAATGATGTGACTGTGATAGATGGAGTGAATGTGTGACGTGCGCAAGCAGAGGCAACACACCACAGTGTGTGGTGGGGTGGGGAACAACACAGCAGGCAAGTTAGCCTAGAGCCAGAGCTCCTTCTTTCTGATCGCCAAAGCCGATTTGTCAACATTGCTAGTGCTAGAGAAAGAAACCTGATTCGATTTTTGATCAAAAAGACCTAGAGATCATGTTGAACAAAATCATCATATGGGGAAATACAAAAAGGAATAAACAGAACACCAAATTCATAGATTAGGCCTACTTTACTATTTCCCTTGAATTTATTACTGGATCCCTAATAACGAGAATCCTGCTATAACGAACATTTCGCACCGGTCCCCTCCCTCTCGTTATAACAGGATTCCACTGTATATATATATATATATATATATTTATATTGACTGTTCGTTTGTTTGAGTAAAGAGAAGCACATCCACACAATATTGGTCATTTTGTGCTGGGAAAAAGCAAGACAGACAGAAAGAAACAACTGAAGTAACGCGAAGAAGTAGGACCTACCAGTGGCACTTTCCAATCACCCCCATATGTACATGTACAAGATTCTGTCCTAGTGGAGATAGAACGACATCGATTTGAAATGGAGATCATTTCTCATACGATAATAAGAGGTAAGAGGTAGCTTGTGGAGAAAAAAAAGTATCACGATCATTTTCCTCTTTTATACAATCTTATCACAAAGAAGAAATTGACATAAACAGCAAAGAGTACAGAGTATCAAATAGTGAAAGTGATAGGTTCTGGTACATGTTGTCGTTGTTGTTGTTTTCAAATCCCTTTAGCTGCGAGCATTTCGCTCTTGGCAGCAGGTTTTGGTACATAAAATGCCTTTTACTTTTAGCCTCTCCAGCTTTTGCTTCCTGTGATAATGATGCTGATGAAGATGCTCATAGTAACTGGTGGTGGAAAACAATCAAAATAAGGAGGACAGCATTCTTACCGGAATAAATGAGAAGATATGGGAATACATACAACTTTCTTCCTTTCATAAAAAATACACAACATAGTGCAAGACACGCATGTCAATTAATTTTTAAGATGTTATGTCTTTTTCGATATAATGCGCATTGAGCATTTTTTTAGAAAATGTAAATCATGCGCAGTATGTTATTTATTATTATTATATATGCCACTTTGAAAAGTGCTGCATGACGTAGTCTTGCACTGAGCAGCTGACATTTATTTCTATAGTAACAATGAGCACAAAAAAACCGGAAAAATGAAAAAAAAAATTTCAATTGAAATGAACACATAAAAAAAAGCACCAATTAAATTAACCCAAATTCTCCTGAGAAAGACATGGTAACCCGTGGAAAAAAAGACAACACACCGACTGCATTGAGACAACAACTTTGGTGTCCTTGTTTGGTTTAGTTTTAGTGAGAGTTTAGTGGCACTTGCAACAAGGTCAAATAAGTGTTGAAGATTTGAGGTGTTGTTACTAGAGAGTAACATACAAAAAAAAAATGGAGGAATGACAAGGAAGATAAATGTTTGACCAGAAAGAAGGGACAAACTGTACTGAAGTACCCACCCTCCACCCACTACTTTAACAAATACATGAATACCCCCACTGAGAACAAATTTTTAGATGGAAAATAGAAAAAAAATCTTTCATTTCCTCATTGTTAAACACATGCACACATAGACACACACACAAACACACTAATATTATATCAGAAAGGGGGTGGAGCTGTGGAAGCCAGTTCAGATAAATCAATAGGTACAGTTGAGTCCACATACACCATACACATTTAATCTGAAAACAGCTGTTAATCGAAAGAAAAGAAATTCATCGACTTTTATTTCTTCTATTTGAGCAACCTCTCGAAACCGAAAACCCAGCTAAACTGCAGACCGGCTGTCTCACATATTTCGATTTAAGCGGACCCCTCTGTACATTATGGAAACAAGGTTGAGAACGTGAAAGAGTATTCTTGAATTATCATTGTGAGTAAAGAAGCAACAATGGTACAGACAAATGATGACTGATTTGAACACAAAATGCCTACACATCAGCTCAACTCCAACATTGGCATATTAACCCTATCCATACGTCGTGTTTTACTATTGTATCCATACGACGTGGGGAACTCTGTGCCACCACTTTCCAAAGAGGAAATTTACTCGTTAATCCGATCTGTACGCTTTGCATAGCAGTCTGTCAAAATGATTTTTTGAGAAATACTCAAAGTTTCAAAGAGATCTTCGTAACAGAAGTACAGTGGAAACCTGATATAACAGGGATGGTGGGAGTAGAGAAAAAGTCCTGTTATATCCGATCCCTGTTAAATTAGAAATGCAAGGAAAGTAAGCATTTGAGGACTAATCCAGCTGTATTTATTCATGGGTAGTTTCCCTTGCCACAAGTACCCACGAACAGTGGTTTTGGCACCAACTTTCTCCTTGCCTACTTAAACCACATCAGAAGAGCTTGGTCCACAGCATCTGCATCGGGTAATCTCCTCTCTCATCTTCTTTCGATCCAGAGCAAACTTTCCATTGGAGTATGCTACCACTATCTTCTCTCTATCCTTGATAATGATGTGAATCGACCCTTGTGGAATGTCGAACTGACGCCAAATCTCTGCCAGTGGAGCTTGCTTTTTGTCAACAGCCTGGATTATTTTGTATATTTTGTCAATTGAACAGCATAATTTTCTCTTGCGCTTGACATCGTTGGTGGCCAAAATGAAAGAAGTAGGCTTAGATCTAGGCCGACCAGTCGCAAACAGAGTGCGTTAACTTCCGTTAAGCTTAGATCTACACATGTACTGTTGTTAGTGAGCAGTCACAGTGTGGTGTGGTGAGTGGTGCATGCGTGTGTGCTTTGAACTGCGGAACAAGCTCTGCACACGACCAGATTTGGCCATGCGGCAGGCCTGAGTATGACACATTACGTGTGCGTGTTGCTAGGTGTCAGGCTAGATCGAGGTCTGCAGCACACTGCACCCTTCTCTCGCTTCACCCGCTGCGGGTGCTTGCATTGGCATGGTTTGCGAGGGCTTGCTCCCTCACTGCGTTACTCTCTCTCTCTCACTTACTTTTTACACATTGGTAAGGAGCCTTCGTCCCTGCTATAACCGGTTGGGCTCTGATGAGGCCCTGCTATTGCCGATAACTTTTAATAGAGACAAAGAGTAGGAAAAAACGGGGATTAAAAAAATTCCTGTTATTACCGGATCCCTTTTATTACCGGTCCTGTTATATATGGTCTCCACTGTATTATAAAATGAGAAGAATACAACCCCGGGGGTACAAAATTACCCCAGGGCGTACGGAGAGGGTTAAGTCACCTCAGCCTACATTTTTATCATGAGCGTCCACAAAACTTGGGTCAGGGAAAGCCAGCTCAAATAATCCAGCTCCAGCAGCCTTCAAGCGCTCATTATACTCAAGACTCTGAAAGAAAAGATGGAACAAAGTGTATTGTGATAAAAAGGATGGACTTACGATGTCTCAAGGCCCAAGATCGGATAATTGTAGCATGTTAGAACAAATTGATTTAACTGCTCAATAAGATCAATAACTTCTCATTAAGCGCAGGTCTCCCTGCTGTCACTTCTTATGTTATCAAAGAAAGGGAAGATTTTGATCCTATCTTGGTCATGGGTTTTCCCTACCCCAATTCAGTCCTTATACAATTCACTTACCATCCTGCTCTTTTCCCTGACTCCACAGTACTAGAATTTTAGGCTGAAAATACTGAATCATTTTAAACTATTAAATTTCCGTAGTAGATCAGATAAAAATAATTATTGTTGACAAAATGACTTCTATTTCACAAATGAAAGGACTGAGCTAATTAAACATAAGTATGTGTAAAAAAAGGCCGTAAATGACTGATCCCTGGTTTACTCACTTCATAGTTTCCCTCTGGGACACCCTGGCATCCATAAAGAGTGCCGAACCAACAGGCGGCGATGACCCCAGTGCTGTCACTGTCACCCCCGTGAAGCATGGCCCTGACCAAGTAAAGAGGTTAATTAACACATTTTAACTCTTTGGGTGTTGGGGTTTAAATCAGTATAAAGTTACTACTACTACTACTACTACTACAATGACTGCTACTGCCGTTGCAACTGCTATCACTTATCATTATTATAAAATTAATTATAATGCTCTATGATTTCAATAGCACCTAAAATACAGTTCTAAGTGCTTTACAATACTTTCATCTCAACACAAAACACAAGTGAATGTGCTTGCAAGCACAAGCTCTTTGGCTTAACTCTAACACATAAGTAAGCAAACACTCATTGCATGAAAGCAAAAAGGATGATGATAAATTGTGGTTTCTTACTTTGACAAAACTCTGATCAAGAGTGTTCCACAAAAAAAAGCCCCCATCATATACAGATCAAATATGTCATAGATAACTTTATCAAATACCAAAATATCAGGAAACGCACGACGTTTTTAAAGATGTGTATTGGTGAAATGTTTACATCTGGATTGATATTATGCAATTATAAACAGGGGCAGGAATTTTTTTCTTTATCAAAATCAAAAACTCAAATTTCCAGTTCAATCTCTTCAAATATCTAAATATATCTGAAATGGATTTAACCTTATACATGAGTTATTCAGAAAGAAGAATATATGCCATATTTTAAAAGTGAATGAGTGAAAGATTTCTCATTATTATAATATTGGAAGTTTTCAAATTTACTCTTAAACTTTGTAATTAGTCAACGGTTAATACTGTCCATTCATTCTCAAGATGGACATAAGATTTATACAGTAAACAACATATTGTTCTGGAATTCATTCAGAAAAAGTAGAGGGTGTTGAAAGCAGTATAAACCATGATATAAAGATTCAACTGAAAGCGTTTACAGCAAGGTAGTACAGAGCACACCTTTCCATTTTTTGTGACTCTTGGTAACAATAACACTCATCATAAACAATTTAAACAAAACTTAAGTCTTTAAAAAGAAATCTTCGGAGGTTTCAATATGTTTTTTTACACTATACGTTCTTATTTTTCAAAATGAAATAAACTAATGAGTTAACACTCACCTATAACACAATTCATGCCAACTACTTCCAGCACCAAGCAGGGCATCATATCTGAAAAGGAACGTAAGATAATATGTTTTTTCAAAACATATACTGTTGCTGAAAGTGTTTAAAAGAAAACTCAACGAAAGTAAAGTTATGCTTCCATCAATTTACAGACCAAAGAGCATCTTAAAAGAGTAGAAAGAATAGTATTTTGCTGAAGGAAATGTAAGAATGGAATTAATATTAGGGAATTATAGCAGAAAAACCTCCTGATTTTTCTAAAACCCGCATACCAACAAAGATTCGAAGAAGCTTCTCTTTCAGATGTAAAAAAACGGAGATATATATCAATATTTTAAAAAATTAATGACAGTGCTACTGCACCATTTCTTGTTGGTGACAGTATAGAACTGAAATCTAACCAAACAGTTGGGTTTTTCCAAAATTTAAAATACTTTTTAGTCTCACATCCCCTTCAACTGATGGCTCAGACATCTTTACAATAACCTTAAAAGCCATGTCATCTACAGCATTTTAAAATTTAACTCAGTTGTCCTGAGTCCAAAACATTGAGAGTACTATATCGTCTTATCCTATGCTGTTTCTGTAGTCAACCAGGTAAAAATAGTTGTCGATAAAATTACTTCTGTAACAGAAATCAAAGGACAATTTAAAAATGTATGTATGTGTAAAAAAACTGTTAATGATTGATCTATTAGAGCAGCCAGTTAGGCCATCACAACTGTCAATCTTGTAATAATTATTCCTTTTTTTCTGAAAAGAAAGTGCCCATTTGCTGCTGAGTTATCTCAGAACAAAAGGGTAAAATTTTTGTCTCAAGGATACACCATTTTATCCTTCGCAGCTAGGAATGAATCCCTCCCTCTCTAATGATCACAAGTCTAACTCCACAACTGCTAGACCAGGACGCACTAGTCTGAATAAGAATCCTTGCTTAGAAATACTCCTCTGAGGGTATAGGCACGTAAATTGAACTGTTATTGAAATTGGGTAACTTGAATAGCACAGTCAAGTTGTTGACTGTGTTAAAGTATGAGAGCTGTTTGTCATTTACGATTTTAAAATTAACAAACATAATTCTTTTTATTTTGTCCATCCAACATCCGCTAAACAGTCTGGGAGAGTTAAGCAGTCCACTGCCCCACCCACAAGAGGGTGCAGCAACTCCTTCTCTGGTGAAATGATACTCGCTCTCTCATGGGTCTCAACTCAGAATTCTAAAAAAGGAGGAACTTTCCGGGTGATCGCCACAGAAGCCCATTTTCGCGAAACACCCATTATTATTATACTGTTGAACCCTAGAATGCTGAAATAAAAACCATCAATTTATCACAGCAATGTTATTTCACACCAATTTGAGAGTTTGGGAGATAATTTTAAGTAACAGTCACGTACCAAATATTTACAATCTTGATTACGTACAGAAAGTGGTGGCGCCTGGGGTCTTGTGTGACTTATTTACATTTTCCTTTCATCATATTCGCCTGTATAAACTATATAAAAATGAATCTGTCTTGAGCCTAGAACCAGAACATCAACTGTCATGATTCATATTATATATATGCCTATATAATAAATGTGAAAGACAAAAATTAATACTCAAACTCAAAGTAGAGTACACGTAGAATAGCCCAAGTAGACCTATTCAGTGTGAGAGGTGTAAGAACTGTGGGAGGGCAAGATGCAGTGATACTGAAAATCTGCGAATCTTGAACAGAAAGCTAAAATATAGAGATCTAATTTACTGTCAACAATCCAATGAAACGCGAACACTTAGACCCTTAAGTTCCATAACATGCTTACAAGTTATGACGGCTCCCGATTTCACACAAGGCCTGCAAAAACGCACACAGTTTGCAGAGAGCTGAAGTAGTAATCAAAATTCTATACTACATCATTTATTTCCAGTTTCAGTTTTTTTGTCCTCTGGTGTTGCGTCCAGCCCTCCCCCTATCCCTGAGTGCGTCTTTTAAAAGAAATCAATAATCTCCCCCCCTTACCTAAGTCCTGTACATTGTACAGGTACTTCATAGCGCTCAGAACGCGCGCAGGTTCATTGACCGGTCACAAAAGCGAGCCCAACAAGACGCGTGTATAACTTTCTTTTCTTTTTTTTTGTTGCCCCCACAAGTGACAGCACAGTGACAAATACCAGTCTTGATTTATTTTCATGGCGACACCACATCTGTAATGCCGAGCCTGCATGTTACAATAAATGTTGCGTTATCAGACAATTACTGACAAATTTCTGAGTGGTAACGAAAGCGAAAGTAGATCTTGATTTTCCAGTCAGTCGAGCCTTGGTGACACAATTCCGCTTGCCGCCAAAGCTGCCAGTTCGCGTGAAACGTACTCTCAGAGCCGAAGTAATATCACAATCGCAACCAGCAGAAATGAACTTAAAGACGTTATTGGATTTGGTTTTCAAATATTTTAAATCTTTTATGTATTTTCCCGGGTCTTGCCGATTTTTTTTTAAATTCTCGGGGCCTGGCAGTCACCCTGCTCCCAATAACTCTCTTTCTGAATGGCCCGCTGTCGCGGTAGCGGAGTTTAGCGGAGGGAATCGCGGTGGCGGAAATCCGCTAAATAGCGGACTATTGAGACCCATGTCTCTTAAGAAATTCTCTTTGTCATAGCCTAGGGCTGCACCTTTTTTTCACACATATTTTGTTTCCTGTTCAGCAATCTTTCCTATGAAAAGGTCTACTAAGTGTGTGCCCGGTCAAAAAGAAATCAGACTCTGGAACCACATAAGCTCATTGTTGGCCAACCTTCCAAATAAGCCATCTGTGTCTAGTACGGCTTTAAACTCATACAAATAAGACAACAAAACCATCAAACAGGGTTGCACTATAACACAGAACAGAGGGGAAAGAAAGAGAAATACTCACGCAATCATGGGAGCGTCATGACCCATTGAGCCACCCCAGCCTCCCACGCTGACACTTTTCACAAACTTGTCTCTCTCCTCAAAATCGAATTTCTCTGGAAAAATGGGTTCTGACTGTCCATCGGTTATTTGCCGCAGCTTCAAATAGTCCGTCCATGCCTTTTCAAAATGACCCCTGTATAGAATAAAGAGCATTTGTTTCTGAAGACATCATCAACATGATATAAACAAACGAGCAGAAACAAAAACAAGAACCCACAATGGAATTAATTAATTTATTGAAACTGTTTATTCTTGGTTTTATTCTTTTCTTCTCTAGTGCGTGTACAGTAAATCTTTAACTATGCTATTTTCTATAAAGGTCATCAATCTTTTCCAAGGAATATATTATCAAATTATATTCTTACCTTTGAACTAGTTTCTCTTTTTTTCAAAGTATGAGAATACTAATACAGATCTATCTCCAGCTAGAAATTTAGCATTGCCATACCTGCCATAGTGACTGACAGTATTATAGCTTACCAATTTATAACTCCTTCTTTCTTTTCTTCCTCCTTATTTATTTACTTAAATTTTCAACCCTTCTACGATGTGATCCTCAAAAACATGCGTGATGGAGTACTTTGCAACCTTCCGTCATACCCAGCAGTCAACTCATTCTTACTTTATTACAAAGAAACAACGAGCTAACAAGTTTCTCACCATGCTTGCTCATTCTCCAATACACAATGGCCACTTGACCTTACACAAGCTAAAGCCTTAGGTAACGCCTCCATCAAACCATGACCCCAGCTGAGCACAGGTCGACCTGAGATTAAGAAACAAGATAAAAGTCAACACTTTTCTTTTCATTTCATTCTCATTTAAAAGTAGTGAAGATGCATTAAACTAAAGGACCAATGGACTTGAGCACATACCTCTATGCATAACTACTACTTTATCCTACTGCACACTTTAAAAGGAAAATATTCTCATATGTGGATGCATTGGTCATCATCTTATATTGACTGACAAACCATTACATTACATATCAACACAAGTGAAACTACAAATTTGGAATTCCCCTGGGTGAATGCCATATATGACAATGTATTCATCTCTAGCAATAGAAAAACAGAAGCTCAGGTGTACAGGTCCTGTGGGCTCAGGTGGGCAGGGTTCCAAGAGTTAAGATGGCGGCCACAGAGATGTTTTCTCCACAACAGCAGTCACCAAATAACAGCCTCCGGGCTCGATCTGACCCACATGGACATTTTGTCTGGTCCATCACCATGCCACCGTACATTAAAAATAAAACTAGATTGCGTGCTTGTACCATGCTCAGTACTTGGTCAACAGAATCATTTAACCCATTCTTGAATTGGGTAGAGACTTTAGCTCAGGATAGACATACATGGAGAGTTCTTGTTGGTGAACTATACATAGGCATGGGGTGAGAAAGACTGATGATGATGATGATTTTTGTTTTAGTAGAGGTTTTACGGTTCTCGCAACTGCGTAAGGTCATATGAGCGCCAAGGGGTGGATGTCAACAGAGAAGTCCTTTCAGGGAATCAGACTTACTCTGCTCACCTCTCTAACTTCAACAGCACAAAGTCTGCTTGGACTATCAAGGCACCCCGGAAATAGTGGGTCACGAGAGTGTGACAAACATACAAAAGAAGTAGAGGAAAATACGATAGTAAGGATTAGGAAAGAAAAAGCAGCGGTTCCCGATTGTAGATCAGGCACAGTTATGAGCATGACATTGATGAATCAGCCCATTTGCAATTCTACTGTGCATGAACAAGAAATGTCCCCCCTTTGGGATTGGCCTAAAGACACTTCAGTCAGTGGCACAGCCCCAGAGGATATGATAATGATGATGATGATGATGATGATGATGATGATGATGATGATGATGCAACCATGACGATGACGATGAAGATGATGATGATTGAACTCTGCAGTGCAATTAAAACATGCTCTTATAGACTTGAAAAACTTCTAGCTAATGTATCACACTCTTGCTTTGCTTCAGTATAAGAAAAAATCTTCCTTTTGACATATTTCATACCACAAACTGAAATCCCTCATGTGTCCCCAGTTGCCTGGGCATGGGAATTCCAAATTTTAAATTTCAGTTCTAATAATATGTACCGATGATGACCAATGCATCCGCATAGGAGAATATTTTCCTTTTAAGTGAAATATAAGATATAAAAATTAAGATTACATGATATATGAGGCTTCTGCTATAGTCAAAATGATAAAAGTTGTTGTATTTGGACTTTTGATCAATATCTTGTGTCTTAATTTTTTGTTGCATTTTAAAGTGTGTGATTTGATCAATACCACCAATGCTCAAGATTTTCTCTGCTATCCGGACAATTCTGAAATAAGTTTGGAGACCCCTGCTTTTAAAAAGAAATGTGAACCCTTATCCATATGGGTCCAACATCACAATAACAATAGTGGTGTCTCTCAAAAACAGGTCTACTTCTAATGTAAAACTTTACATAATTTTACTATTGAAAGGTCTAGTCAACTCGTGAATGGTTTTGACCAGGATGCAACCTTCAGAATCACTGTAGAGCAGTCTTTGGAACGGAACATCCCTTTGCTGGTCAATTTAATAGACTATGAGAAAGTGTTCAAGAGTGTTGCCTGCAAAACTCTATGGAAAGTACTGCAATATAGAACATCATCGGAGATAGAGATATGTCACCTGTCAGCTGGCCCCTCTTCGCATAATGTTATTTACGCGAGATCGGTGACGCAGTGCCTCGAAACGGCTTCATGCCATACATTTCATAGTCTGTTCCTCTCAAAGTCACTTCCCCTTATTATTTCGTATAGTTAATACCGGGGACAGAGGGAGGAGGGAGGAGCGAGGAGTCATATCAGTTAATACGTCGGAAGTAGTGGTATGTGGTGAAGTTGATCAATAAATGGGCGCATATTTAAGTTAATAAATTCATAAAATTTATGCTCCAAGGAAGGAAGAAGAAGAAGAATGAGAAGAAGAAGAAGAAGAAGAAGAAGAAGAAGAAGAAGAAGAAGAAGAAGAAGAAGAAGAAGAAGAAGAAGAAGAAGAACAAGAACAAGAAGAAATGACGAAGAAAAGGAGTGGAAGTAGAAGAATAGAAAAGATTTGGCGCATTGAGTGCACTAATGCAATGAGATGCGGGCCAGGAATAAGGAGAGGGGACGTGACTAAGACAGGCTAATAATTATACTGACCGAGAGGAAACATACAGTACGATATGTTTTGAATTTTTCATCATAATCTTGACTAGAATTACTAGAATGTTTTGACTCCATCTTTCATGTGTGGATGTGCGTATGACGCGATGGTAAAGAAAGAGAAATGGTGTCAAAAAACCCATTCAGACCAACCCCCTTGCTTAATTTACTAGGAAAGCAATAAAGTGATTCCTCGGTTGTGAGGAACAGACTATTTATTGTACGGTGAGAAACTTTCACCGGATGCCTGACCCCAATCTCGCCTGAATCGAGGAGTGAAGCGTCTCTATTTTTTTGTCTCTGATATCATTGAACCTGGTGAGGTTGATTTAGAATTACTATAAATGCAGTCTCATTCATGACGGGCAGTTCACTAAAAGCTCCAAGATGCAGACTGGAGTAAAAAAAGGGATGTTCGCAGTCACCATTCCTTTTCCTACTCACCATAGACTGGGTAATGAAATCAACAACAAAGACAAAAAGACAGGGAATACAGTGGAGACCTTGGTCTCAGTTTGAGGATCTAGACTTTACTGACAACCTGGCATTGCTATCTCACAGTCACCATCACATGAAGAGAAAGACAAAGGATTGAGGATCTCATAAGGTTCTCGCAAAGCTCAGACCTGAAAGTGCAGCGGCCAACTTTGAAAAAAGTTTGGAGAACCCTGCTTTAGATAGACGTAGTGTTAACTCTGATCCATGTAGGTGCAACATAACTATAACAATAATGGTTTCTGTCAATTCTCCCCCCCCCCCCCCCCCTTATTTTTTCCACCCCCCAAAAAAACAACAAAAAACAAAAAAACACCCATTGTACACCTGGGGAAATGCACAGTCGGTGCCTTATGATTGGTGGAAAAAATCCAATCAAAGTCCATAAATGAACTGAATTTCTTTGTGGATGTATATAAAGATGAGGAAATTTCTACTTCTATTTTTCGCTTTAGATGCATCATCCATCATGCAATCTTCACGGAAAATCATCTTCCCTTTTTCGGATCCAAAAAAACTTGTCCTTGGGTTGAATAAAAAACAACAGGTATGAGAAACTTGAAAAAGAATTGAATACTTTTGATTTTGATAGAATTGCATTTTAAGTTTAAGTTTTAACTCACTAATTAACAATATACCATCACAGGCAAAGAGACAATAAGCATCTCCCTCTGTCAATTTTGATTTAAAAAGAATGTATACCATCAGTGCTAAGCTTAGACTTCAAAAACAGATATACCACTAACTCTTTGATTCTGGATTGCCACTTAAGTGGCGTTTTTTATTCCGGGTTTATGTGGATTGCTAATTAAGTAGCATTTTGGGAGTACAGTTTTCGTCAATCCCAAGACTTACACGTCGTCTTGTGCTACATTTGCTACCTATTTTCACACATATTGTGATTCTCTGACCAACTACAAATAGTTTAAATGCTTACGAAAATAAATCAATCAATATTTGACTGAATTACAGCTGTTACAAGGTAACACCCGTCACCACCTCAAATTGGGTGCGTGAAATTGTGGAATCCTTTGCGTACTGAAAGAGTAAAGGCAAAACTTTACATTATGGTACTATTGAGAGAGCCCTGTTAAATTATAAACATGTTTACCTTGCACAGCATAGGATGTAAACAAAGCTGATGCAAGACTACCCAGGAAGCCAATTGGGTGATGATGAGTCATACGGCCAGCCTCTATGCTGACAGCTATCAGCTGGTCCAACTGTTCTGGCCTGGAAAATACAAACAATATAAACAATAAATATATATATAATATCATTCCCCTTATTCTCCATCATAACAGCTGTTAAATATTACTTACAGGTGAGAGAATTTATATGAAACAATCAGGTGGACCTTCACAAACGTAAATTAAATCTTAAGAAAAAATTGTACCACAAGCATTAAGTACATTATTTTGGTTGCCACAAGCAAATATATTTCTTATTGGAATACTATAATACATGTACATGTTAAAAGTTGAAATTATTTCCATTATGAGACCAGTCTTTGTATTTTTAGTTTTAGTAGAGGTTTTACAGCTCTCCCAACTGCATAAGGTCATATGAGCGCCAGAAGATTAAAGTTGTTACAAGAGAGTAACAAACATATAAAAGAAGAAGGGGAGATAAGGACGATAGATGTTTCATAGGAAAGAAGGAGCAAACCACACCAGAGCACCCACCAACCACCAACTTGTATGAAGCTTTTCCTTGACTTTCAAAAAGACCCCCCACCCCCTTCTCCAAACTGTCTAAGACAGCCATCATTGTCTAGGAAAAAAGTGGCCATCTTAGACACGTGGCCGTCTTACACAGTGTAATTTTTTTGTTTGTTTTGGTAAGTGTTTTACGGTGTTCACAACTGCATAAGGTCATATGAGCGCGCGGGACACATTTAACATTTTCAACACAGTGTCATTATAACATAAAAAATATGCAAGGAAACAAATAGGAAATGGCTGTTCGTAGAGGTGACTGCCTTATACGGGTGACTGTTAGGGCATGTTTAACTATACCTTACTTCATTGTGTTGTGTTGGTCCTGTGAATAAAGGAAAGAGCATGACAGAATCATTTTTAAAAACTGTGATTGGAAAATGTGATGTGTTTTGGCCGAATACTGTTGTAACAATTATGAAAAGATCACGGAGAAATACGTATATTCATAAAAAAGACATTTTACCTTGGGTATCGAAGACCAATGCACATAGATCTCATGGCACCACCACATCCACCACCCCTTAAAGAAAAAGAAAAGCAAAAACAATTTCCATAAAGATCACTTCACATGCACAAGACATTGAAAGGTTCACAAATATGTATCTAAATCTTGAGCTCTTGAATGAAACATAACCTTATTATCATCGGTGGAATTCACAGAACAATTTACTTTTTTCCAAAATTTCATCCTCAGAGGACTAAATATCAGGACAATGTCAACAAGAATAGATGATAGAGAAAGGTTTTAAGAGGGCCAAAAAAATTACTGCAAACAAATATTATTAATTCTTTAACAATATGCAACTCATATGGCCAAATCATCTCATTCAATATAAAGACATTGCATACCATACATAGAAAAAGATAAAGAAGATGGTCAAAGTCAAAGATTTTAAGTACCAAGACCAAAGATTTTCTCTACTCTGAACTGGAGACATGACGTAGAGCGATTTATACAAAACACAGAAAGATCTCCATTTCTTGAAACTATATAAGTATAAGCAGTAATGCTTTGTCAGCTACTCCCATGGCTGACCCTCTGCATATTTGAGAAATGAAGCGTGTAAGGCAAGCTTTGAAGGACTGTAAGGGTATGAAATATCGATTTATTGTCATATTCACAAAATCTAACCATATCTTCAAGCTGCATAATATAAAAGTCCCACTCACAGAGTTTTAAACATGACACTGAAAATAAGTGATAATTCATGCTTTACATACTTTTTTCCTGAATACAACCGTCAACACAGTGCAATACTCACTTTGCGTTGAAGGGAATTTTGTAGCCATTTCGAACACCTGGTTTTAGCATGTTTGCACCACTAATGCATGTTCTTCCTGTAAATAAATAAAGTACAGAAAATATGTAAAAACCAGGATAACAATAGCAGAGTACAGCACATCGTCCTATCAAGAGAAGGTAACAACAAACTGATCTATACAACATCAACACTTTTCATTGTCACTGCCATCAGAGTGCACATGCCCACACGCGCGCACACACACACAGAGGCACACACACACATACAAACATATTTTAAGAAGTCCACATGATCTGCTCACTAATAAAAACATTTAGGAAGAGACTAATGTAGTTTCGAGGACATTTCCAAAGATATAAAAGTTTTGAATACTTTGCTCTTAGAGGGAAAATGAAAGCCAAATGAGGTAGAGGTAGAACCAAGCAACTTACAAAGAAAACCTGAACCGATTGGTAATAGGGAAAGACCTAGATAAAACAACTTTAGGGAATCCAAGCAAAGAAATGAATAACAAACCATGATCACCTATCTCTTTCAGATTTAACACTAGGCTTACTTGATGAAAATGATGACGACGATGATGATGATGATGATGATGATGATGATGATGATGATGATGATGATAGGCCTATATTATTCACACATGCACACACACACACACACACACACACACACACACACACACACACACACACACACACACACACACACACACACACACACACACACACACACACACACACACACACACACACACACACACACTAGCTTACCTGGAGCTCTGCCATTCATATCCTTCATGCATTCTTTGTAATATCTTGCAATTGTCAGAAAGATATTTTCTATATTACTTTCCTTGCTTGCTTCAACCAGAGCTGAGGGAGATTAAAAGACACATTTCTTTTTAAAAACTTTTGTACATGAAACAGCACATGAAGATTTACTATTGTCATGGAATGATTATAATGGTCTTTCTCTAAGAGCTTTAACATATATAACCATGAAAAATAACAACAAATCAACTGCAATGTAGTAATCAGTTACGATTATCCTTACATAGTAACGTACTGCGCACATTTATTCTCAGACAAATAGCAGCAGTTGAAACATTGTTACATTATGTCTATGTTTTCTTTGAAGATTAGATTCACTATTTACCTTACACAAATGTAATACCAAAGATTGCATACATACATATATAAAACACCTGGGTATTTATCTTTGTCGAGAGGGGGGGGGGGGGATATTATTACTCGGTTCCAACTAACTCGGTTTCAACGAAAACTCGGGTTTAAAGAAGAGTTCGATTCCCCGATTTTTTAATTAAAAAAAGAAATTTTAAAAATAACTCGGATTAACTAACACATAAATGAGTGAGCTTGGATTCAACGAAGTCGCTTTCAAGGTGAACGGCCTCCTTTCATACCAACCCAGGGGTTGTTATCATGCACCCATGTCTTAGCGTGTGTCGGGGTCGGATGGGCGGCCATCACTTGCGTGATGTGTGACTGTATGTGTCTGTGTCTGGGGGGGATGGTGGAGAGGGGTTTCAAATGGTGCGGGCGTGCAATGTCAGTTAAGATATAAACTCCAACAGTTATTTATTTCCCCAACTACTGATCAATAATAAAATAATAAGCTAATCTTGACATTGATCTACGTAATGAATTTCGCGCTGGACTGTGGAATCAAAAGCCGTCTTCAGACTCTACACAACAACATTACTTGTTTTGCAAACAATACGTTATAGATGATAGATGACACAGGCGTGCATTTGAACAAATCCACCCTTTTGCACAGTGAGTGCTTGGTAGAGTTCAGTGTATTTTCCTGGAATTTTCCAGCAATTCTTTCATATAAAAAAATCGAAATTGCCTCTCATTTGAAACCAAACTATTTTTTATTGAGAAAGTCGAATACATGACACATTACTTGCTCAGTGCCTATAATTATCTACACACAAACCTGCTCATATTTGCCATATATTGAACACTCAGATTCAATGAAATTGAAGGCCAGGCCTGACGACTTCGTTGAATCTGAGTTTCACTGATTATTAATATTATCATTATCATCAATGTTATCATTATTATTAGTATTATATTATTATACTACTTCTATTGCGTACTATTATTATTATTGCTATTTTTTCCCCAAAATTATTGTTACTATTATTATTGTTGTTATAACTAGGTCCAGTTTTGCATCAAATTCAAATGATACATTATGTAAGAGAAACACTCAAAATTTTTCGCGATGCACATATTAAATTTAAATAACAAAGAACAGCTCACCTTCAGCAGTGGCAAGATGCATGACTGTGTCATCGCTCACCATCCAGCCTGGCACTGAAAAATCGTGCAAAACACCTCTTTGTGGTCAGAATATAATGATCAAATCACTCTGCTTAGTATAAGACTCTGCCATACGCTGCTTGGAAAAGTGGCATACATGTATGCGCCTGGAGAAAGGTACCAAAAGTTGCCACAGACCATTTTGAGCTACAGGCTGATAATGACAAAAAAAAATCACTTTTTAAAATCAAAATGTGTTTCCACAAAAACATGATAGTTTTCCACCATTTTTTATTTTTAACAATGTATTTACGGCTTTTCATTGATTTGACTTCTAAATATTTTATTTTGAATTATTTTGAGGGTAGAGTATGAAAAAATATATACAGTAGTCTCCGCCTAAGATCCCGGTGCTTGGAAGCAAGGAAATGTGGGATCTTAGGCGATCCGGGATCTTAACCGATGAACCCAGGGAAGAATCTATGGTGACCCATGCTAAGGCTCACAATCGGTAAAGTGGTCTCCCTCCACTCTAAAATGAACTGAACGCTTGGTGGGTTTATGGCATATGGCGGGCAAAGAGTGGTTAACCTTGATGGCCTATCACGGTGCATAGTGGCATGAGGCATGCCATTTTCACTTATTATCCTATCATGAGTCTCAAGATCTACGCTTATCCAGTTGCCCCTCCCCCTTGCCTGTAAAAAATTTATAGCATTCCATCTCTGGCCGAATCTCCCCCCCCCCCCCCAAACCGCCTTTGTCGTTACACACCATTACGTTGTGAACACACCAATTAAAATTCAGTCTGTCTCGCAAATTCGGGAGAAGAAACAACTTTGCAATGCATGGTCAGGGAAGAGTTCACAGTTCAATGTGATCCCACCTGGAGCTAACGTGTAGGCCCTACCCACCCAGCGAGTGATGTAAGTTTAGGGGGAGAGCTCAGGTGTGAGTGCGATGTTCGGGGAAAACAAACGTGTCGGTCACTTCACACCCCGGTGTGATCCCGTCTGGGGCAAACATTGTATCGCTTCATCGAGTTTTACAACCCGTATGTGATCACATTCACGATAATGGCTGATCTTTGACGCGACGGACTGTTTATTGATCTCAACTTTTCACTCTTGGTTGATCGGCTGTCCCGCCCGGGTTTTTGTTCTGCAAATTATGATCTGAAATGCGGGATCTTAGCCGAATGTAGACCTTCAGAGTGATTCAGAGCGGGATCTTAAGGGTGACTTTTGTATAGTAAAAATTCTGTTTTCTTAAAACAGCGGGATCTTAAGCGAACCGGGATCGTAAGCGGTGGGATCTTAGGCGGAGACTACTGTATATATATAATGAAAACTGCTTTAAAAAGGTGTTAAAATCTATTCTTGAAGTATGTTTTCTCTTCCTTGTTATGTTTTAACATTGAATTCTAATTTCGATATTGATGTCAATTGAATGGCAAATCGGAAAAGAATTTTTCATGAATAAATAAATTTAAAAGAATTTTTTTTTTTCAAGTTTGTACGTGTTCTCAAGTTTGTTAAACTTAAAAGCTCATTTTCTCAAAATTATATCTTTATCCTACCTTGCAATATGTGCAATATCTCTAAAACTACTTAAGAGATATCTCAAAAATTAAAAAAAGCCCTGTGTTCTGCGTTGAATTTCCTATATAATTAGGTTATAGAACCCTTCACTCAAAATGTTCAAAATCAGACTTTTGGTACTTTTCTTTGGGCACATACATCATGTACGAGTATGATGTTACGGAGTCTTACACAGAGCAGTTGCTATGTACCTTTTGTAAGTCGTTCTTTTATTATAAAATATAGCTTACTAGTGCTATAGTTTCCATATTGTGCAATTTTGCTAGAGAACATATATATATATATATATAAAACTGTAATAATCACAAATCTTTTCAAGTGAACACATATTTTATATTCCCCCTTATAAAATTACTAGTCAAATTTGTCAACAATAAATGTTGAGGAGAAAAGTGGTTGTCTTAGACAGGTGGACATCTATATAACACAGTGTTTTTATAACAGAGTGGCCATTTGTGCAAGAGATTTGTCTTATATAGGTAGCTTTTAGAGCAGGTTCAACTGTATACTGTTGTTCTCTATTTCACCTCTGAAGTAGCCTCTATACTTGCAAATAGTCAAAGTGTCCAGCATTTCTCTCATCCAAACTTCATGCTGTTCTACTAAAAGTAGGCTACAAAGATGAATAAGTAGATATAAAAACATCAAACTATAAAAAAACAAACAACAACAGTCAATATAAGATCCACATGAAACTTACATTTGACTTTAATGTCCTCCAGTCCACCCAAGGACTGTAACTCATCAAAGATTGCTCTGCCTCTGTAACAAAACTCCCAGCTTCCATTTCTGAAGCCAATAGCATCTCCAGCTCCGCTAAGAACCATTGCTGCGACATATCGACCTTTCAGGTTTGGTGAATCCATCATCTGTCAAAAAAAGTATGTCACTAAGAGAGAATTCATAGATTTAATCACAGGATCAGTTGCCTCAGAGGCCAGTAAACTATTTGATACTGTGCATAGGGCCTACTATTATTTTTATATATGTACCGTGTGTGTGTATATATAGGCAGCGTAGTGAAATCAGGCACTTTTCAAAATAACAAATTCGGAGAAACAGGCATTTTTCTGCCAGTTAATTTTTTATCCAATTTTTATTTTTTGGCTTAACCTCTTTTACATCAATATAAAAACACATTTCCATGTGAATTTTACGGAAAATCATTGTCATTGATTAAAGTCTTAAATATGTGCCATATTTTTCAGTCTTCAAATACTCTTTAGCTATAATCATGGAGCTACAAAACTTTAGCGGCTATTTTCTTGCTACTTTCTTCAGTCGCAAACGTCTTGAGTTCTATTAAATTCAAGATCATGAATATTTCTTTCATTGGAAGCAAGGCAAATGAAAGCTTTTAGATGATACCAATAATAACTCCACATGTACAAAAATTGACGAGCGCCTGATTCCACCGCGTCATGACACACATATGTATATATATAGATCTATATATATTATATAATACTATAAAAGAACTTTTTAATGTTCTCAAAGTGTTAATTATAAATAATAGATCTATCAACTGAGAAGTGAGAAGCCTAAGGCAGGCTTGTTGTTTTAAATCTCGTATCGTCTCTATCTATTGCAGCACTAATGCCTCTTTATACTGCAGAGAGATGAAATTAAACACCGTAGGAGACACACATACCGGTGGAACGCCACAGTATACTAGACGACGAGAGATACATGTAGATCTATGTACACTAAACTTTACGCCCAAAATTGCTTTAACCCAAACGACCCGGGGTGCACTCAATCTCCGAAACATTGTTATTGTCACGGTCTTTGGGCTAGCCTACAAAAGAAAACACCGGTTCGGAATTATAGTAACAGACACATTCATTATACATATCGTTGTCACCAAAGATTCTCTAGCCTGCTACAGATGTTTTAGTTGCCCTATCTCGCGTCCGCGCGAGACTTGGGCGCTTCCTTGTGTTAGCGCGTGACGGCCCGTGATGCGAGTGTGAACAAACGGTCCAGCGTAGAGTAGAGAATGCACAGTAGTGTACCTGATCAAATTACTTATCAAACTCAAACAATTCCGTATGTAATCAAATAGTCTTGACATGTATAGGTCCTATTACCTCTGTAGGCTACTTAAAAAAACCCAGATATACAATTTTTCTCCAACAGAACAGAGTATCATAAAGGAACAAGACAGCACTATGAAGCCGAACTTGAATTGGAGAACACATTCGAACTCGCACTGTGTATTTCCTTGTTCTTCAGGGCCCCAAGTAGGCCTAGAGTAAGAAATTGATTGTGAAACCCCGAAACTATTTTTAGATACTCAGTCAAAATATCTATGAATAGATCGTCATATAAGGGGGTAGCTCCGTCCATTGCACGGATCCTCCGGGATGTTTTGGAGATTAGTAACCGTAGCCTGTCAGTTCCCCAAAATATCACGGCTGAACAGCGAAGTGCAGAGCTATAGCAGAGAGGGTTTACAGTAGTATTACTGTAAACTCTCTGGCTATAGGTACGAATTCAATCAGAGAAAGGACGTCTGTTACTAAATTATGGTTTGGTTGCTCAACATCTGGCCCTCGATCCAAATCCAACACGACTTCCTATTTGCCCAGTATTAAGTCTTCAAAGAGAGTCACTCAAAACCAAACGAATGGCTGTAAGAGAAGAGCAGGGCACTTTAATTTACTTTAAAAAGAAACCTCCTTTTCAACACGAAATGACCAAGAAGAGAGAGCGAGCGCATGGTAAATGTAATAATAATAATAATAATAATAATAGATCACACAATTAACTGCGTTGACTAAACTAACACTTGGCCGTTGTCGTTGCTTTGGTCTGAACTCATATTGAGGGATTACGAGATTTGTAGGTACATTAATTTGGTCGATCGGCCGTTTTCGTTAGCCAAGAACGACTGTCGCTCATCCGAGTGTTTGGGTGCCCATTGGGAGATCGGGTCGGATCGAGTCAGAGATGAGGTGGGAAGAGGGCGTTGGCGATGGATTGGACACACTTTCAGGAAGTCAAGCAGCTGCATAACAAGGAACGTGTTAAATTGGAACCCGCAGGGTAAAATATCAATTTTTGTTTGGAACCTGGAGAAGAGTCACGGAAATGGATGTACCGTACAGAAAAGTGAGAAGACATGGAGTGACATCAAGTGACTAGGATAAGGAAAGGTGGAAATAAGTGTTTGTTCGTGGCCTATAAGTTGATCCAGGGTGAGAACTGCAATAATGATGATAGGCTGGAGGCTTGTGACTCTCTCGATTTGTTTTTTTTCTTCTGTTGTATTGATCTTTCTTTTATTTTGTACTTGTTTTCATTTGTCTTTTTTTGTCTTTAATCTTCAACTACAACGACACTACGAACAAAGCTAAGAATTTTCAACTCAAATGTGAAGTCAGTCTTGTTGTATGGATGTGAGACGTGGAACACATCCCATACGGCATAAAGAGGATCTAGGTTTTCTTGAACAAGTGTCTGAGGAGGCTGCTGAGGATCAAATGGACAAACAGGATCACCAACGAGGAAGTATTAAGAAGAACCAGACAGAGCCCGGTCAGAGATGAGGTGGGAAGAAGACGTTGGCGATGGATTGGACACACTCTCAGGAAGTCAAGCAGCTGCATAACAAGAAAAGTGTTAGATTGGAACCCACAAGGTAAAAGATCAAGGGGAAGACCTTGTGGAACCCGGAGAAGAGTCACAGAAATGGATGTACAGAAAAGTGGGAAGACGTGGAGGGACATCAACCGACTAGCCCAGGATAGGGAAAGGTGGAGAGTGTTTGTTCGTGGCCTATATCCTGGCCCAGGGTGAGAAAGGCAATGATGACAACGACGTCCTCTTTTTCTGATGTTGTTAATTATGATTTTCAGTAATATTTTATCTTACTGATTCGTGCTATTCAGAAGCATTTTAATATAGGCGAGTCCCCATAAAAAACCGGTCTTAATTTTTTTTCAAAGCACACAAAGATGTGTTGTTCGATGTGGCATCTCACCACATGGCACCAACATACCAACATAAGTGCATAAGGTCATATGAGCGGCAGAAGATTACAGGTGCTACAAGAGAGTTACAAACATAAAAATGAAGAAGGGGAGATAAGGACGATAGATGCTTGACATGAAAGAAGAAGCAAACCACATCAGAGAACCCGCCAACCACCCACAAAAATTCTTTAAATAACTATTTATTAAAAAATAATAATTAAAGGTAGCTTACTTCCTACGATAATGACAGACCAGACGTATCTTATATTTGCAATGTCTACTAACTGCCGCTTTGGAAACTTTACTTTAATGAAAAATAGGATCTTAAATGTGAGTGTCTGTCACCACTTGGCATGATAGAGGGATGAATTATAATACATGTATTATAACGATAGTATATTTGATATCATGATAAGAATTCTATTTCACGTCATTTTAAGAGCACAGACAGTACAGAAGATGGTGGGATCATGGGTAGAGACTAGAGACTATTTTGTCAGACTCCCTGCTCTATAACTTTATAAAATAATCGAGACAAAACATGAAGTCAGTAGGCCAGCTGCCCTTACACGCTACATACATTGTATGCCTCTACAAATCCTAAATACATCACAACAACAATTAATTGCGCGCGCGCACGCACATACATGCACGCACACATATACACACACATACATACACACACATTCACACACACACACCCACCCCCCCCCCCCTCACACACAGACACACACACACACACACACACACACACACACACAGACACACACACACACACACACACACACACACACACACACACACACACACACACACACACACATCCCACTATCAAACTCCCTTATCTTTACGCTTTTTTAAAGAATGAAACGAAAATTTTTGTTTTTTGTTTTTTGTAAAGTGTTTTACGGCGCTCGCAACTGCATAGGTCATATGAGCGCGCGGGACACACCTAATATTTTCAGTTGGTAGTGAATTTTGAATTTTGCCCGGGTGGCGGCCGAAGCCTACTCTTATCGATTTTAGACCACCAAGGGATCTTTAACGTGCGCAACTTGCACACGGGCCCTCCGATATTTTTCGCCCTTGTCCGAGAAGGCTAGGAGTAGATCTTTCCTACCAGAAGATCAGGGGTGTGGCAGACAGACAGCAGTAAGGAGGAGCCAAGGAGTAGCAGTAGAAAGGCTGCAGAAAGAGTCAGGAGCCCAGAGGAGGGGGCAAAGGAGGTGAGGGGGTGGGGGCAGAAAGTGAAAATAAAGCAGACAACAGAACATTGCTAGAGAGCAGGAAAGGAGGTGAAAGGAGGCAATTTTAGAGGGGAAAATTTTTCGGTCGCTACCCGGATTCGAACCCGGGACCTTTGAATGAGAGGCCAACACCTTAACCTCTAAGCCACGAGAGCCCCCATGAAACGAAAAAGAAAGAAAAAAACAACAAATATTGTACAAGTACAAGTGATCTGATAAGTACCAGGTGTTAAAAAAGAAGAGGCAACATCAACTTGGTCATTGCAACATCAACTTTAATTTTTTAAAAACTTCATTCATGATAAGATTTAATTAACCAAGGGGATGCCTTAATCAATATTATGAAGAAAATTAACCTTCATGTTCGAGAAACTACGGTACCTAACAATCTTTAAGAATGTCTGGCAAAATAAATTAGTTCTTTATTGTACAAATACGCATTACGGCTGATTTTTAAGAAGTTGTAAAGTTTGCATTCTACTTAACTTTAGTTGAAAATTTAAAAAAATTGATATTTCTCGAACACGAAGTTTGATTTTCTTCCTATTGGCACATATCTGACATCCCCTTGCTTGCATTTTTCTTGTTCTAAATTGATGGGAAGATTACCCTTTAGATTAGTCTTTTTTTTCCAGAAATCCAGAGGAAGGCACAATGACAACAGCAAAATATTCTTAAGAAATACAATTTTGTAAAGGATCGCACCTCACATCTGTGTACATACGACATAACGTACATGTATAAAATGCAGTACGCAAGGTAACAAATTGTGAATATATTAAAAAAGAACACACAATAGTTGGATAGCTTTATTTATTTTAAAAATGACTGGAATGAAGGAGAGGTAGGGATTAACAAGACAATTCTTTATTCTCGTTTTTCTCTCTTTCTGCAAACAATTCAGTGTTGTGTACTGAAAAAAACATAACACAATGCGATGTCGTGTCATGAAAAACGTATCCACACAATGTTCATTGTTGTGTCATGGAAAACATAACACAATTTATGCAATGTGGATTCTGAGGCGGAAATGCAAACTGAAGTATCAAGCGGAACCAACATTATGATTGAGAACGTCGGGCTGCACGGTTCAAGCAAAGATGAAGCTGATTCATGAATTGTTGAGCAAATTTAAGTAACCAATGATTTATCTCTGTTGTATGATCATTCCCTCATTTAGGAAAACATGCTAGTTGCTTTTAAACAAGAACTTCATCTCGGCCTTTCCGAGATGAAGTGTGTACAGAATATATTTATCGGTAAAAATAAAGTATGTATCTCCCCCCCCCCCCCCTTTTTTTTTTTGGTGGTGGTGGTGGGGGGCGCCAGACCTTGTGCGCAAAATATAGGGTTGCCGTTGGGTCATTGCGACGGTGATGTAATGTTTCACAGTGGTTTACAATTACAGGAACAGAAACAGAAACAGCAGGCTGTGATTGTCTTGATGAGCGAGAAGATTGGACGGGCAAGGTTAAAGGGGTTACACTGCACTTTTTTACTTTACGACCTGGGATGGACAAAGATTGCTGCTTAAAAAAGATTAAAGAGTGCGGTATGATGTGGGGTTAACGCCACTAAAACCACTATTAGTTGTAGGGCTAAGAAAGAGGTGGGACCTCTTATTTGTCACTCACCCCCCCCCCCCAATAGAACAATTGAGATGGTGGAAAGCCTGGAAAATTCTCAAACAACTAAGTTCACCTTCAACCAACTGGGGATTTTGAACCTCGGTCAATGGAAGAATGAAGTTGAGACCAGTTTCAATAATGAGCAATAAAGAAAGACATTCGGTAGTAACAATTTATACATTATAGTTATCATCAGTAGCACCACCAGACAGCCAACTCGCTGTTATAACAGAGGGTAATCAGAATAATCTCAATACCAGTAACATTTTTAAGCTTAAGATTTAGAAATACATGTATAACAGCAACCTTAGGATCAATTTTTTTTAAACGTCATACATTTGGTGTTTTTTTTTTTACATACATAAACAAACAAACAATTAAGCATAATACTGTACTATGACATCATCATCAAGTGCCAGATCTGGGGCAGATATCGGCGATCTTGGTTCTCCATTCATTCCTTTGCTCGGATGCTCTTAAAAAAGGCTACGTTATCCTGATCTTTGCCCGTTACCTTTCTGGTTAGGTTCTCTTAGTAGGTTGCTCGACTGGGCCTACTCCTCCCTAATTTCCTTCAATTTTGTCTGTGAGAGCTAGATAGATGTTCAATACCTCTTATGTCTATTCAGGTGTTCCAAAAAGCTGCATTTGTCTTTTCCTGATTGTTTTTAACAGTGAGTGTCCCACGTAGACTTCGTCAAGTACTACCTCATTCGATTTTTTTTCTTTTCCTTTCATGATATTCTCAGCAGTCTCAAAGCCACATTTCTGTTGCTTCTATTTTATTTTCACGGTCTCTGGTGATTGTCCAGCATTTTTAAAAAATGGTAAGTGTTTTATGGCGCTCGCAACTGTGTAATGTCATATATGAACGCACAGGACACGCCAAACATTTTCAGCTAGAAGGAAATTTTGAATTTTGCCCGGGTGGCGGCCAAAGCCTACTCTTATCAATTTTGGACCACCAAGGGATCTTTAACGTGCTCAACTTGCACACGGGACCTCCGAGACTTTTCGTCCTTTCCGAGAAGGCTAGGTGTAGATCTTACCTACCATAGGATCAGGGGTGTGGCTGAAAGACAGCCGGGAGAACTCTTGACTTGGACTTGGATGTCACTTCTTTTTCCTGTAGTGGCAGCTCTCCTGTGTGTGTGTGTGTGTGTGTGTGTGTGTGTGTGTGTGTGTGTGTGTGTGTGTGTGTGTGTGTGTGCGCGCGTGTGTGTGCGCGTGTATGTGTCCAGAACGGTTGAACTTCGAAAAAACTTCGAGAAATCGAATGACGACTGAACGAGCACGGATGCCGACAGGATGAATCCGAAGGACAACGGTCCTGCTAAATCTAAGATCTTTTCCATCTATGTCTAGTTCTCCCAATATTTGAAATAGCTCATCATGTCTAACTTTATCGAACGCCTTTGAATAATATATGAAGCATAAATACAGATCGTTCTGTACTTCATAACATTATAAATTATATCCCATCCAATTATGCACATGCTCAAAAAAGCAACGTCCGCGACTATGGTCAGGACAACCTCTGAGGGACATTCGCGGCATTGCGAAGATAATAACTTCTCGGTGGGATAGGACGAAGTCTCTCAAAGCGAGAAATGAGCTGCTTGCAGTTGGGACATGTGTGCACCACATCTTTGGCACTGTTGGAGAAGAACGGAATCAGGCAACAGCCACACGCCAGTCTGAGGGAAGGTAGTTTAGGAAAAACAAATCAAAGAGACATCAACATTATGAATAGTGTAATATCACTACATGACATTAAGACAAAGCTTGCACTGTAATTACAAATTAAAAGAAAATAACTAACAAGATGATTAATCAGAGTCCTCAGATTAATTGCCGGTCAGTAGGGAACAAACCTGACTTATTTTTGTTGTGGTTGACATTGGAGTCAATCAGTTAAATCTCTCTACTGTCAGTATACCGAAGGCTATTCCAGCCCGCCATTGTAAGCAGCCAATTGTCATCCAATTTTTCATCATCACAAACTTCCCAACAACTCCACTCCTCGCTACCCTAGAATTACTAAATTTTATCTGTTCAGAACCTAGTTATGAGAAATTTGACGTCAAAATTTTAGATTTCCACAATAATATTATGTCAAGCTTTTTCAAATGCAATTCTTTAAAGATCTTGATAGCGACTCAGAATAATCTCACAATGGAGCATTTGACATTTCTGATCTCAAAACGGCCAAAAATGTCAGATAGAACTTTGTAATTTTGAGGTGGCGTCCTGTTTAACCTATCTTCATTAAATTAACACCACATTGAGAAGACATGACTGATCCATTAACAGACATACAGTTTGATAACAGACGAAATGGATTTATTGGGCTTTCAATCTTAGATTTTTGTAGATCGTAAACAATTGAACAATGCCGTGTGACCGCTGAACTGGCGCAATGTACAGTTCGGTCTACTCTAAGAATGAGAAGAGATGTTTTCTTATTCTTTCTGGAAGATTTCTTTACCAGAATCCTGTTGAGGAATGGTTCATCGCTTTCTTTAATTATTTTTTTTTACAGAGACCTAACAACAGTCAAACTCTTCAGCTTTGAGAGGTGAAATAAAAATACACATTTTCGTACATTACAGAGTGAACGTTTTTTTTTTTTTTTTTTTTTGGGGGGGTGTGTGTGTGTGTGTGTGTGTGTGTGTGTGTGTGTGTGTGTGTGTGTGTGTGTGTGTGTGTGTTTGTGTGTGTGAAATTGACAAAAGCCTCCACTTATATAAGACTCATGAGCTACTTTTATCTATATATCCCAACTTCATTTCGAAATTATACTGGTATATTTAATTTGAACAGCTAGTGTTTATATTACTCTCAATTAAAAACATTCTTCCAATTGTTGAAATACGCGTACATTATTATAAAACTTCCCTTACAAAGACGCCATCTGTGGACTCATCATGGGCACAAAACTGCATTCTTTCTCAACACAAGAAGTACCTCATTATGTGTCCTCTGGACTGTTCTGAACTCAGGTATCTTTCCTACGAATTGTTCTTGTCCCCATTAACATTAAAACAATGATAAAAGTACTAAGGAAAGAGCACTGCCAAACAGATAACACAAAGAACTATGAGCTTTCAGTGTATTTAAAAACGATACAAGGCTTGCTGAAAGGAGAAAGGACCAAAGCACTAAAGCAACCACCACATTTTGGGAATTCCGAAAGGAATAAATTGTCCTTTATCTGTTTCTCTAAAACTTCTTCATTGCAAGTCTGCTTGGTTATAAATGGTCGTCATAGTTCTGAAATCTTATGATACAAAACAAATCCTCTCACCAAAACAGCTGTCAGGGCCAACTTTGGGCTGCGAGGGTACTACAATATCTCGATAAACAGAAGGAGATACTAGACAAAACGTCTTCCTCGCGTGGGAATTGAGCTCTAGTCTTTTCTGTGGCAGGTCAAGAGTCTAACCATTCCACCATAGACTTTAGATGTATTAGATCTACATGTATATTGATTCTGGGCCTCTAATACAAATTTCATGTATATAGTGCTGTGTCCCGTACAAGTACAAGCTGTAAGTTCTTAACACTGATGTCATCATTACTGAGAGTAGTGCATGTACTTCATTGCCATTTGAGCAAACGTTTCATTTAAAAACAAGAAAACCAGTTCAACCACATAAAGAAGTACTTTCGTCACAAGACAAAGAAAAAAATACTTTAAACCCCCCCCACAAAAACCCAAAAAATAAAAAAATAAAAGACCACTGACTTACCCAAATGAACACAAGACACAGCACACAACCCACGTCATTGTGCCATTGTCATAGTGCGTTGCCGTCAAGATTTCCGCCTGACAGTGGGGGCAGACACAACGCACTGGAATATCCTGAAAAGTCTGGATGGCTGGCATTTGAGGCTGCGAAATCACAACTGATGAGTGAGAGTAGTTCCCGGCAGAACCATGAGTGCTGAAGGTGAGGGGGTTTCTTTCCGCATTGTTACCTTCAAGTACTGGGGCTGGAAGTAACAGAAATATAATATACCGAGTTGCAAAAGTTTAGTCACACCCATTTTCAAAGTACTATAATTCTTTTTCTATTTAACACAGTGGAACAAACTTTGTCACATATGACCTGCATTCATTTTCTGTCTATATGACAGGAAAAGAATTGGCCAAGGTCTTTTCTTATTGAAGGTAGACAATTTTATTCAGACTGATCGTTGCAAAACCAAACCAAAGTTTGCTCAGTATTGCGTGTGGCCTCTTCCAGCTTGATTTACTGCTATATAACTAGCATCTGCGTTTGTCGCGGCCCGCCATTTTTGCAGTTTTCCAAAATGACAAAAAAACAACAAAACCACTCCATAGCGTATTAGACATGTAGATTGATGATTTTTAAGATGTCCATGTGTTTCTATTTTCACGCGGAGAATATAAGTACATTACATTACATACTATTTATATTACTGTCTGTCTTTTATTTTTCCCTGTTTATTGTGTTTTAATTTGTTCGTGTGTTAGTTTTTCAAAAAATTGTTCTAATGATGTGTTCTTCTTTTCTTTTCTTTTTTGGTGTTTATACAGTGTAATGTCATTTAATTTGATGCTGTTCCTACCCTTTTAAAAATATAAATGTGTTATTATGTTAGAGCGTGTCTCCACCAAAACCGAATACTGACACTGGCACGCCCCAATAGTGTGTGATTCCATAATTTATATGTAATATAATCCTGTAGGCCTACTTTTTCTAGAATTACACAAGTTTAGGGTTAAAACAGCCAATCTTCGGATAGGTGGACAAGCGCCCTAATTTGTTAATTTTTGTGGTTATTTATCCGTGCTGTTATAAATTTGATTTCATTCTGTTTTGAAACCTTTATTTTTAACGTTTTTACACATTGGGTCACTACAATGATATACTGGATGCTTAAAACACAGAGCACAAGAAATTCTGGTGCTTTAGATTGTTATCTTTATCAACATATTGCTATTATATATAGGTCGTCACAGAGAGTTGAAAGCTTGAAAATTAATGGCAACTTTTTTGGCAACTTTTGGCAACTTGTGGACCAAAAAATGGCAACAAACGCAGATGCTAGATATAACGTCTGTTCGTTGACTGAATTAATGTCCATAAAATGGTTGCCTGAGGAATCTCCTGCCATTCCTAATGAAGTAAAATCCTCTTGACAAGGTTACCTGTTTCTTATCCTCTGATCAAGGTCATCTTACAGATGATCTGTTGATTTGAAACCGGTTGATCTTGCAAGCCAATCCAGAACATTGATTTGATGAGTTTGAAATTTTTTTTGTCTGATCATGACCACAAGGGGTCGCGCGATGTCAGGTTCGCAAATTCTACCATCCGTGCCATGAAGTGCAAGACGCGAGGACGAAGAATTTCGTCACAATACTGTCGTCCTCGAGGTTGTTTTGAATAGTGACCAAATGTGTATGATGAAGAGCAGAGACTTCACCCCATACCATCACACCTCCGCCATCTAATCGGTCCATGTGACGGATGTTGACTTGGTAAGATCTCTGTCCTCTTCTTTTATACGCTATTTCTATCTATCAATGCGATGAAGTGAAAACCTGAACTATTGCTGTAAACCCCCCCCACTATACCAACGTATTTGGTTCCATTGGCAATGTTGTTGCGCCCAAAGTTGGCAATTTCTTAGATAAAACAGGTTTTAAATGGCCCCACAAAAAGAGCTATAACCTCGTAATCCGTGATCACGCAGACGTCTAATGTGTTGTTAATAACCCCGTTCAAACGTTAACCCTATCCGTACGCCCTGGGGTTATTGTGTAGATCTACCCCCGGGGTTGTGTTCTTCACTTTTTAGGATATTTCTAGTACGAAGATCTCTTTGAAACTTTTAGTATTTCTCAAAAAAACATTTTGACAGACTATTATGCTAAGCGTAAGCCTACGATCGGATTAATGAGTATTTTTTTTCTTTCGAAAATGGGAGCACAGAGTTCCTCAAGTCGTATGGATACGAAAGTAAAACACGACGTACGGATAGGGTTAAGTTGTTGTCCTTGGTCAGCCACTTCTAGACATGTCTTGGACAGTTCTAGTGGTCCTAAAACGCTTGTTCGAGCGTTGGGTGGTTCTCATGCAAACATGTACGCGTCTTGGAACAGCAGAAAGCGCAATTCCATGGAATCTATCATAAACATGGCGTGTTCAATTACTGCATTTGCCACTTTTGCTTAGGTGAAAACAGGTGAACAATGACCCAACAGTTAAGACAAACCGATTTTCGTAGTGCGTAAGATGTGTTTGTACATTGTCTTTGTGATTTGAAGGAGATTTTGTGTATAGGCCCTAGGATGTATTGATTTCAATGTACACGTGCATTGGAAGAAAACAATACCAACACTTTGTCCACGTGCTACTTCCGGTTTATGATTTCCCTCTTCTCCACAAGCACAGAGAGTCTCACAAGTCACACAAGTCATGAGTCCTCGATTTCGCTACAATTCTTAAACTTTAGTGAAAATTATCTTAGCATAATGGCTGTTAAAGAACTTTTGCAACTCCGTATAATTGCAATTAAGTAATGGACTGAGTATTCGAGTATCCGAGGGTTTCCTTCTCTTGAGAAGGTGGGTTGTCACATCTTGATGGAAATATATTAATTGTAACGGTACTTAAACAAATTACCAGTCAAAAATAGGGAACTAAAAGAACACCATTACATAAAAATAAGATGGTAAAAAGAGCACTCAAAAGATGCAGGATTTTGCTTAGCGTTGATTGATGCATACTTTAATCACGAAAGATGTTAACCAAACACAAGTTTCAATCAGCTGCTACAGTTATAACAAAGACTTATGCGGGGTGCCCATTGGGGATCGGGTCGGGTTGGGGCGGTTTGCTAGCCAGATTGAGAGAGCAAAGCGGTTATCGTGGCACAAGCTGATCGCGGCTGACTCGTAGCCTCAAAAACAAACGCGTTCGTTTTCAGGCGACGAGTAGGGTGATCGACCAGGCATGTCGAGCCGACCCGACCCGATCCTATCTACAATGTGCAATGTGCACCCGGTATTAGATGATATACCAACAGCTACGAGAATTTTGCGAAGATCATTAGGTTGCGAATATAATGTTATTGAGTCTGTTAATTTCAGGATATTTTAAATTGTGTTTTACGTTTCACTGGAGACAAAAAGATAATTTCAAAGGCAAAACAAGTGGCCCAGATATAGAGAGAGCAAATGAGAACCGAGTCAGATGTTAGGGGGTCATGGATGTCGGGGTAATCAAAACCGAAGACTCGACTAAGGTTACTACAGAGAGAATTAAAATCATGAAAAGAGGTATACATCCTTCCACAATGTTTTGTATGAGTAAATAATCTCCGCTTCCCCAAGAAGCATACTTCAGTGCATGCAGTCGATTAAGCACTCAAACAGTTACAACTGACAAGATCTTTCGCAGTCTGTAGATCTAGTAGGCCTATCTTCTAATCCAGCTAGGTTCATGAAATTTTGTACACATATTAAATGTTTAAATGACAATATACTCACCAAATTTCAAATCATTTGCTTTGATAGTTTTGTTTTTAGAATGTTTTCTCAAAGGCACCAGAACGTATAGGCTAATAATTATTTGCATAAAATAAATACCAAACTCCTTAGAAATGAAAGGTAGCCCACAAGCAAAACTTGCAGTAAGCATATACAATTTGAAATACGTTATAGATAAGATTAATTTGATTGGGTTTGGTAGATTCTTGTTATTATAACAGTTAACAAAGGAGTGATACCATGAGTCGGCTGAACTAGCGCGTTGTGTACCCAGAGTTAAAACTGATTCTTTCCCCCCACTTGTACAGCTCTAACAGATCTGTAGGCCTGATTTTGTAAACATGCGGTTAGGCCCTTATTGTCGAAATTTATTGTGATTCATTTTTTCGTGTTACTTCACATACAGTCAAACCTGCTTTAACGACCTCCTGTCTAAGAAAGTCAATCACCTGTTTAAAAAAAGACCATTTCAGACATTCTCACTTTAAATCACCACTGCCTTTTTTCACAATGTAATGACATTGTCCAAGAGGACTACCAGTCTAAGATGACTACATTTCTCTTCGAGAATAGGTGGCCGGTTGAATAGGTTCGATTGTACAGTTGTCAGCAACATTGCATGATCAATGAAGAATAAAACAATAAGAAACGTTACATTACCTTGCGTTTCAGACACCTTGTACGGAGGGGGCGCAGCAGGCCCGGCCTGATAGTAAGCTGTACCAGGTTCAAACGCTTGGTTTGACACTCCAGGGTATGGTGGAGGTGGGTCTACATGATCGTTGTTGGAGGACATGATTTGAGAACTCGGCTGAGGATGAAAAACGGTGAAATGGTATAGGTTTAACGCTCATATCCACACTATAAAGTTATTTGAGAGGCAGACCTCCTCCGAAAGGACTGAGCAAAATAGAAATGTCGTGTAAAGTGCCTTTCCCAAGGATACAGCATTGGACCGTGCTGAGGTTCGAACCTCACCATTACGGATCCAGTAGCCTAACCACTAGGCTGTTGACGCCACACTGAGGGTGAAAAAGCAAACTGCATTCTGAAATGAACCATTCGCTTAGTATTGCTATTTTGATTGCTGAAAAAAAAAATGAGAAAGGTCAGCCTTGGACGTTGCTGTTTATGTTCACTTGTATTATAAGATTACATAACTTGATCTACCAACGGCACTGCTTGGTTCTAAAAAAACGGAGACATTCTTTAATCATAAATCAGACTATCGATTCTCGCATTTTGTAGACTATGCTTAATACAATGTGAGGAGAACAAGCAGAAGTGAACAAATTCATATAGTCGAGTGAAGTGAAACCAACATCATGGCATAATGACATATGATTTAAGATCTAGGGCCTGTTAATTATGGCCAGAGATGGAGGCATTATTTAGATGCATCTATTAGTTTTCACATAAACTATAACTAATTATATTAAATTGAACAGCATTTAAAGAGAGCCATGCTGATTAGAAAACACCATATGAAATGCGTAACAATATTCTCATCAAATTAATACATAAGAAAAAATCACAAAGTGAAAGATCCACTACTTCGGACAACCGGTACAGTTTATTGTCGCCCCTCCCCTCTTATTTCAAATCGCTGAATTATCTGATCTAATTTCATAGAATGTTTCTTTCGGTTCAAGGAATTTTTCATAGCCGAAATAGCTGGTAATTTATTCCTTTCATTCATGTGGAAACGAGTTACGCCAACAAATTTTGATATAACACAATATTCTAGCAAATAAGGTAGAATATTTTTATCCCAACTGAGAGACTAACTTTCGTGCTTTCACTTTTTAAAATTTAGAACCTCACACTTTTAGTTTTACTCTAATCAAAACTTACGTTCAATCAGTAGGCCTAGACCTAGACACCACAGCAAGGTATGGAATAAGAATCTGAATTACGTCGTCACACCCTGATTTATTGTCGTTGGATTGACCTGAGATTGTTACTTACATTTTTTATATTGCCAGTATTGCGACACAAGTACCGTGGTATTACCTCTGACCATGTTGATAAAACGATGACATTTTCCAAGCCCAGTCGGGTGTTTTCGTCTCAGTCTCATGTGACATAGCTGTATTGTTATCCGCACTCTAAAAATATAACTGGTAGAGAGTGGGTGCAGTACAATGATATTGATGCTGATATCGCATGATGATAATATATAACTAGGCTTCAGATGAAGGCCCTTACCAATCCGTGTAGCTGATTGTCAACTTCCTTGACTATGAGAAGGCCTTTGACAGTATAGACCGAGCGACACTTTGGAAGATAATTCGACACCACGGAATCCCACAGAAGTTGGTGAACCTCATCAAGAGCATGTACGAAGGGACAAGTTGCAGGGTTGTACATGATGGCCAGCTCACTGACAGCTTTGATATCAAGACTGGTGTGAGACAGGGATGCTTACTATCACCGTTCCTCTTCATATTGGCAATCGACTGGCTGATGAAGGAAACCACCAGAGGACACAGAAATGGTATACAGTGGACACCATGGACACAGTTGGACGATCTAGATTTTGCAGACGACTTGGCGCTTCTGTCGCACACCCAGCAACAGATGCAAGCAAAGACTTCAGTATTAAACAACCTATCGGAGTCTGTTGGATTGAGGATCCACCCCGGAAAGTCAAAGGCCCTAAGGACAGATGCACAACGAAAGGAGCAGGTCACAATAGAAGGAAAGGCCCTAGAAAACGTTGAATCCTTCTGCTATCTTGGGATCATAGTTGACAGAGAGGGAGGAACAGGTGCTGAAATAAAGTCTCGCATTGGAAACACACAGGCAGCTTTCATATCTTCTATAGGATTTGGAAGACCAGAGATATGTCACTTCGAACAAAGCTGAGGATTTTCAATTCAAACGTGAAGTCGGTCCTGTTGTATGGATGTGAGGCATGGAACGCTTCACAGACTTGTATAAAGAGGATCGGGGTTTTCTTGAACAGGTGTCTAAGAAAGTTACTGAGGATCAGATGGACAGACAGGGTCACCAATGCGGAAGTGTTAAGTAAAACAAGACAGATCCCATTCAGAGATGAGGTAGGAAGAAGGCGGTGGCGATGGATTGGACATACTCTCAGGAAGTCAGGCAGCTGCATAACAAAGAAAGTTTTGGATTGGAACCCACAGGGCAAGAGATCAAGTGGAAGACCTCGTGGAACCTGGAAAAGAATCACAGGAATCGATGTACAGAAAAGTGGGAAGACATGGAATAACATCAAGAGGCTAGCCCAGGATACAGAAAAGTGGAGCGTGTTTGTCCGTGGCCTATACCCTGGTGCAGGGGGAGAAAGGCAATGATGATGATGACATTGAGCATTATCTTAGTGGAAATGGGCTATGGAAGTAAAATTGACTATTGTTGTTTTTATTTTCTTTCCCATTTTCTCTCTGTCTTAAAACGTCCTTTCAAATGAGTATCTTAAACACACATATCCAGCCTCCTTATTGAGAGGCACTTAAAAGAATTCATGAAATCGATTTTGAAGATGAGTGTGAGTATGGTGATTTTTATCAAATCGATTACTCCTTCCACCCCTAAAAAGAGAAAGATGAGAAGAAAAGTAGAAATAATTTTTTACTATAGATAAATACAAAATAGATAGCAAAAAATAAAGGGTAGATCTAAGTTTTTAAAAAGTAAAAATAAATTACAAAGCAAGTTGAGAGCCAAACAAGAATCGTTGTTCAGCGCCGAAGAAATTCTCTTAGGAACCAGCACAGTCACGTGACAATATGACGCCACTTGGTAACGGCTATTGTTCCCCTTGAGTGATTGATTTCGACAAGACGTGATTGCATATTCCGAGTGAAGAAAAAGATTTCTTGCATCCACAAAGTTCCCAAAGTTTGAGTAAAGTTGCACTGTTTTGATTATTTTCAAGTTCCTGTATTTTTCAACATCCGTTTTGATTGTGTGCTTTTTGTAGTGCGTTTAATTTCTACATAAGCGTATTTGAGTGTTTTGGTTTTTGGTTATTTCATTGTTTAGTTGAGTTTTTTTGCTTGTTTGTTTGTTTGTTTAAGTTTGTTTGATTGTTTGTTTGTTTGTTTGTTTTGTTAGAGTTTTACGTCGCTTTTGTTTGAGTGTTTGCACCACTTGTTCTCTTTGTATTGGTAAGTGAAGAGAGAAAGAGAAAGACGGTGAGGAATTGAGGAATAAAGTCTCTCAAAGGCTCAATCGTAAGTCTCTTCTTTTCTAAAGTACGGCTGGTGGTTAGTTTTAAGCCCAGCGATGAAGCGTATACGTAAACTTTTCTTGTCTTGTTTCTCCTCCTGTTGCAGGGAAGAAAGCAGCGGCCAGCTGCACTCAGGAGACTCTCAAGATCTCCATCTCTCCCTGGAAAGCAGCTGCTCAAGCCAGCTGAACGAAAACCTTGCCGAATGCCCTCGTGGTGATCAAGCCAGATTGGAGGACCACGAGGTAAACCATACAGGTGCAGAACTGTCTGACTCACCCAGTGAGTATTCTATTTTCAGTAGAGACGGTTGCACAAGAATACCGGCATTGCACCTACCGTCAGGCCTCCTTGACGAAGATCTACACCTCTCACTACCCTCCAACTATGAGAGCGAGTCGGACTCTGAACAGCCGGAAAACTGCCACGATGATTGCGCGAGTCACACTCTAGAGGCCTCCACGTATCGTGTTACGTGGACACCAGTCATCCATGTTTCGTATGGCCTTGCAGGTCAGTATCTCATCAACAGGCCGTTCCGTAGAGCAACAAGCGGCGATCAAGAGGTCCAATCCTATAGCTCGAGCTCGGAGGAATGCTTGCCTGCCTTCTCTCCACAGCCACCACAGCCTGCTGACAAGTTGTGTGTGGAGGAAGCTGACATACTCGAGTGCGTTTCCTTATTGTCCGAAACTGGTGCAGACTGACCGTTTCAACGAAACTGTAACGGTGAATGTGATTTACCTCTAGCTAAGAAACAACTACCCCCCTACCAGACCCCCCCCCCCCCCCCCCCCCCCCCCCCCCCCCC